TGAAGATGAGTGTTATAGACGCTCTGGGGGAGGAGATAACCGCCATAGGCGCCGGGCGTCCCTACAGCCGTTCTGTGTCTCCCGAGCTGCCAGCAGCAGCAGCAGCAGCAGCAGCAGCAACAGCAGCAGCAGCAGCAGCAGCAGCAGCAAGAGGAGAAACAGGTGACTTCAGGAGAAATGCAGAAGCTCTTAGAGAGACAGAGGATCTGCTGCTGCAGCATGCTCGTGATGGCGGCGAAGAAGAGCTGCAGGTGCGGCGGCTGCTAGCTGCTGCTGCTGCTGCTGCAGTGCTGCGGGAGGCCGAAGCAGCAGCAGCAGCAGAGAAAGAAGCTTTGCTTACTAAAGGAGATTCATACAGATCAGCTAGCAGCTACAACAGATATATATTGTACCGTTCTAGGGGCCCCTTTAAGGCGCGAGGAACGTGGGTATCTGCTGCAGAAGATGCTGCTGCTGCTGCTGCTGCTGCTGCAGCAAAGCAGCACAAGTGGCTGCAGCTTGTCTCCAATGCTGCACACAGCAGTGATACCCTAGGCCTCAACAACGTTCATCATATGAAGCAACAGCTGCTGCAGCAGAAACAGCAGCTGCTGCTGCAGCAGCAGCAGCAGAGACTGCAGCAGCAGCGCAACAACCTCCCCGAATACGGCCCTCACCCAAGGCCTCAGCAGCAGCAGCAGCAACAGCAGCAGCAGCAGCAGCAGCAACAATATGGGTTGCAAAGAGAAATGCCGGAGCAGCAAGCTTCTGTGCACTGGGAGCAGCAGATGCAGCAACGAGACACACAGCAGCAGCAGCAGCAGCAGCAGCAGCAGCAGCAGCCTGACGAGCTGTTTGCATTGCAGAAGATGCTGCAGGAGCTGCAGGCAGAGAACCAGCAGCAGCAGATAAAGCTGCAGCTGCTGGTGCAGCAGAGAGAAGAAGCAGCACACAGACAGCGAGTGCAGGAGCTGCATCTCCAACTGCAGCAGCAGCAGCAGCAGCAGCAACAGCAGCAGCAGCAGCAGCTTAGAAGGTTTCAGCCCGCAGCAACCCGCGAGAGGCAAACTGCTGCAACTCAGAACGGACCAATGGTCTCCTCTTCGTGCTTCGGTGTCCCTGCAGCAGCAGCAGCTGCTCCCCCGTCAGCAGCAGTAACAACAACTTCTGCAGCAGCAGCAGCTGCTGCAGCAGCAGCAGCAGCAGCAGCAGCAAAGGCAGCAACGAAGAGCCATACAGACCGCAACAGCCTCTTGAAGCGCTCATCAGAGCCATTCCCTTCGCAGCAGCTCAGCCACTCAATAGGGCCCCTGCAGCAGCAGCAGCAGCAGCAGCAGCAGCAGCAACCGCAGCAGCAGCCGCAGCAGCAGCAGCAGCGCCTCCGCAGCAGCTCAGCTCCATTCGCCTCCACTGTCTCAGCTGCTGCAGTAGTGTGGACCCCACGAGGGGCTCTTGCTTCAAGCAGCACAACATTTGTAGCTCAGCAGCAGCAGCAGCAGCAGCAGCTGCTGCTGCAGCAGCAATGGCATACAGTGCAGCAGCAACAGCAGCAGCAACAGCTGCAGCACGCACAGAAACAGCAGCAGCAGCAGCAGGATAATGCTGCTGAAGGACCTGCAAATGCTGTGACAATATCAATCCCGAAACTCCTACAGGGCAGCAGCAACAGCAGCAGCAGCAGCAACAGCAGCAGCAGCAGCAGCAGCAGCGGCGCAGCAGATGAAGCAGGAGACTTTTCTACGTGGGTTACATTCCATGCTGTTGCAGAGGAAGAAGAAGTTGCAGCAGCAGCAGCAGCTCTAGCAGCAGCAACAGCAGCAGCAAGACACAGCGCAGATAGCTCCCTCAGTGAACTCAGAATATCCACAGCCAGCGATGCAGCAGACAACAGCAGCAGCAGCAGCAGCAGCAGCAGCAGCAGCAGCAGCAGCAGCAGCAGCAGCAGCAGCAGCAG